CAGGGGAAACCCACCACGGTCAATCAATCAACAAAAACCTTCTCATCCGCAAGGGTAGGACGGAAATGACAGACACCAAAAAGAAGCTCATAAATGACAGGTGAAAGAGAAGAGGACAACAGCACAAACACAATCCTACAACGACGAGGACTTGATCCCGGCCTTTGTGCAGAAGAAAAGACCAGAAAAGATTAGAAGCTGGCAACGGTTCTCCATTACGAGGTCAGGATTAGGACCAGTGTTGAGAACGACAAGCACGATTGAGAGGATTGATCATCAGGCCACAACGAGGCCTTAGTCTTTTAACTAATTCTCATTGACGGGGCCATGGCTTGACATCGTAGAAAAAAAATCCATGTACTTTCACTGTTTAGATATTCAGAGACTTCCTCCAAGAGGACGATAAAATTCGTTAAAAAAATCCAAAATGGCACATAATCTTCTGTGGCGATGAATAAAACTCACCTTTCACACAAGAAAATATTCCAGGTTGTTCGTAAAAATCATAAACAATATGTCAGAAACGACAATAAAAGGCATTAGTCTGGAGAAAGAATATCCTAAATAAGACATGCAATGTCTGAGGTGGGAAATGCACATCTAAGCGTGTAGCCCAGGGCCTGAGGGCTCTCCATTTTTGACTGTAATGCGAGGCCGAAAGGAGCCGCATGGATGTTATGTCACATTATGGCCACGTCACGTCAAAAACTCCCATCCACCAGGCCTCTCTGTTCCTGCTCGCTTCAGAAGGGTCAAACAATGTCAAGCCAACTGCGTGGCTGAAGATCCAGATCTCTACACTGAAATCAAAGAAACAGGAAGTCTTGAAGCTGATCCAATGAAGAGAAAGAAAACCAAAAAGCAAACTGGCCTCCAAACCTGGGTCTTCTAGAACGATCTGAGCAGAGAGACACTCAGTGGTCCTCGCAAACAGACCAAATAAAGAGAAAGGCAGCGGTGAATGTGGAGATAACTGGTCAGAGAATGAGCCGAGGTTTTTTTTTCTCTCTTCGCAGGAAATGAGAGTGCCTCCCTTCCCCCACCGCTCTGCTCGAGCTCCCCTTCCCCCTCCCTCTAGGCCAGAGACGCGGGCTCTGGCACGTCCATGGCACAGGAGCTTACAGTAAACAGGGAGAACGAGAGAAACCCGTGCATATAGGTCAGTCTCAAGAGCCACAGCTGAGAAAAACAAGTGAAGCGGTAATGCACTTGAGTATCAACATGCAAACAAACGTTTTGCCTTTCAGACAAGGCAAACCTTTCTCCCAGATTGTAATCTTGAGCTGTTAAAAAGCGCAGCTTTGTGGTTCACAGTGACTTTGTGAATCATTTCAAGGGCAAGCAGTGACTTTACAAGCACAAAGTTGTTTCCTGTCACAGTTGTCGATGTTGATACGATTCGACTTCTTCTGTTGCTCTTTGCTGATATAACGCAGGCAAAATAGCCTTGTCAGACCACTGCCGGTCATTTCCTCCAAATGGCACGAAGCCAGTCACCACAATCCTTTATGATGTTGTTTCCTTGACAAGAATCCCAATCGCAGTGGCATAATCTCCCTGGGAACACACAAAACTTGAGCTGTACCGTACCGACGTAAACCCTCCAGTCATTTTCCCATAAAGAGCAGTTGGGCTAACAATATATAAAGATCTAGTCAACTGTATTGGGATTGCAATTAAATTAATTGTTCATAATTACAACTAACTCACAAGCCATTTGTTGTTGATATACAGGTGAAATATGATACGTATTTTGTGTGTTTTTTTTTTAAACGCAGCCATAAATATCATTAGAAAGGCCAAGGATCCGTTGGGAATGCGGCAGGAGGCTTTTGGTCCCGTGTGGTTTGCGCTTGCTTGTTTTGTCTTTGGGAGCAGCTGTGTGTGTATGTGGCAGTGCTATTTTATTGTTAATTTCAACATAAATCTCTGAAGAAACATAAAGGAGATGAATAATATGTAAATATCATCCAAATCATCTTCTTAAAATTGGTGTTTTACACCATAGGCAGTTCTATGACAAGAATCGGTTCTGTTTCTACACACTTTAAGTTTAAAAAGAAATGTGGCGATAATGCTAACTTTGCAATAAAGCAATGGAAAAAACATCTGCTCATAAAGAAAATGGAAGTCGATCATAATTCTGATGAACTCGATGGCTTTTTGCCATGTGGCTGTCTGGGGGCATTACATAGAGTATGTATGCTAATTATTGGCCTAAGGAAAAATTATTTGCCCATTTCCTTAGTATAAAGCTTTTGCATGATTTGTATACATCTGATAAAATCTTTATCCAAAAATAATTAATGCTTGAAAAAGCTGCATATGCATATGAAAAAATTGTGTCTCAGACTATTTTTAAACTCATGCTTGCACCCACAATATGATTGACAGTAAAAATGCTAGCAAAAATACAAATATCCAGATAGACCAATTATTTTCTTAAGGATGTGTTCAAAAACAGCACAAAAAAGAACTTTACCACCGACTAAATGAAGAATGACACTAGAATGTCATCTACTGTCCCTCCTGAAGCTAAAACTATAACCTGAAAATATAAAACAAACACGACTACCACTGAAAAGGGAATTTAATATAAAAAATTAAAGTTTCACATTCATCTCTCCACCCCTCATTGGTAGCTCATGTCCTGAATTACCCATCCTGCCCCTGTGTAAAATGACCACAGCTGGGCCTCTCAGCTCTCTAATAAGGCCCTAACAGATGCCTCCATTTTCTATGGCGTGGCTTGTGACACAAACAGACAATGGGACAGGCAATCGGCTTAAAAAAGTACATCACCCGAGCTCCCCACCCCCTACGTGGGGCAGATCAACAGAGGGCCCTACATATCCAGAACTGACTGTCACTGAGCTGTTTGTCAGTACAGCAATGAGTGATAGCTGACTTCGTCTGCCGTGTAACCATGTGACCGAGCAGCACACGGGCCAAAGCTCAGGAGAGCGAGAGGGAGAGAGCCTGACCCCCCTTCTCTGGCCCTCTCCCCCACCTCCTTCCTCCTCTGCCCTGTTTTTCTGAGAGACAGGCCTTTGCTAGGCCTCCCCAGTCACTGGAGAATCAAATCTGCAATTCACAGTGTTAGCAGTGGATGAAAACAGTACAATGACAAGAAAGGACAGACGTAAGAAAACATCAGGCTTACCTCTGTGGATGCATGGCTGAAACAGTGTAATGTCAATGCTTATAAAACATGGAGGACAGCCTCAGCCTAGGGAGGGCTCTCCTCTCCACACTCAGAGCTCAGGCCTGTCTGATCAGAGCAGGGCCGTGACTGGCTGCCCTCCCACTAGCAGGATGTAAGGCCTCCTCTGATTGGCCGCAGCGCTTCCTGAGTAATTACCTTTGTTCGGCACTGGCAGGATCAGCAGTGAGTGCGGGAAAGAGCACAGAGGAGAGGGAGAGAGAGAACTAGGCCTCACTCGCTCAAAAAACCTGCTTGCTCGCCGCAGAGCCGCTGCGAAATGGCAGCTGAATGTCGCTTAGCTGTGGATGTGGTGGAAATTTGGTGGGATTTGGCGTTAAAGCGCTTTTGTTTGTCTCAAGTCCATGTGGAGCCGTAGGCCTATGTTTAATCCCTCCCCCCACCGGAGCCGGTTGAGAAATAGGAGACACTCCTTTAGTGAAAATGAGCCCTGAGCAAAAATAGTGCAGCCACCATAGACTTCCTGTGCTTGAACTGTGACCGATTCTTGAGCAATATGAAAAGCAGATGTGATATTCCACCTAAAATGAGAAAAATCTATGTACTATGCTACTTTTATGTGAATAATGAGTGCAAATCCAAATGAAATACACTTGGAACTTGACAAAACAGATCACATTAACTAAAACCTGAAGCAATAACAATAATAATAAAAAAAAAAATTAATTCTATTCAATGAAAACGGTCTTTTAGAAAAAGCATATATCATGAAAAATATATCTGACTATATTCTCAAAGTAGAAGAGCTAGACAGATGCCAGATTCATAGCAATATTGGTGCGCTAAAGTAAAATTCTCCGAACTGCATGAAGACATTGTTGCATTTTAAGGCGACTCTGTATTAGATCTATTGTGTTTAGGCCTTTATAGCAAAAGCTTCCACTAGGCCGCAAACAGCGCCGCCTGCTCTGTGGCATTAACACAACACTGACATCTACTGGAGAGAAAGGGAAAAGACTTCCGTCTGAAATCACCATTAGGATTAGATATGAACACAATAATGATGAATATTCTCATACCTGCTATAGGTGAAAGCCTATCAAGAGAAAATCTGTCTGCAACAGTGGTGTTATTGTTTACTAAACTATTATTATTTTTTTTTTGCCATTTAAAAAAAAAGTTGAAATAAAATAAAACATGAATATTAGAATGTATGACGTAAACAAAAAAAAAAAAGAAAGGTAAATAAATGTTGCTTTGGCAACTGAATGACATCAATAAATAAAAATAAAATAAAATAAAAAAGTTAATTTACTGGAATTACTAAAACTCAAGTAAAAATAATTTCATCCATATAAATATATGTAAACAAGTAAAATAAAAAATGAAATATAAATATATGAAAAACTTTAAAAAAAAAAAAAATTTAAATTATAAATGTTGTATTGCCAACTAATTTAAATAAATAAAGTTCTTATTTACTAAAACAAAGCTAGAACTGAAATACAAATAAATACAGAAAAACTAATAAAAAGGACTAATAAAATGACTAATATTACATGTTAAAAATAAAAGCTTATTCAATATATTAATAAATACTATGAATGTATAAAAAACAATGCTAAAACAACACTGGTCTGCAAGTCCTACTATTACTATACAATTTAATAATTTGCTATTATTTATTTAGTTACATTTTAAATTGTGTGTGACTGTGTAAATGTGTATATAAAATGCTACTTATATATTCATAAATATATTTAATTTTAGAAATATAACCACACTTTCAGTCTCTTTCTCTCTCTGACATGGCATTTCATGTGATATGGAGAACTACAAAAAAGAGACCTGATAAGAAGATGAAAAAAAGAGATAACAGGACACGAAGAACAGCTGTCTCTTAACTGATGTAGAGAGGTAAGCTCACTTATCCTGTCTCTTATACTTTGCAGACATTTATATAGTTTTCCTAGAAAGTTTTTAGTTAGTGGAAATGTAGATATCAATAAATAAATGTGTAGGCTACAAAGATGTATCAATCAACTAGAAAGTTTCTAAAGGATTTCTGAGTGAATGTAAACAAGTGTTCTGTTCTTTTAATGAAAAATATTGATGAAGTCATACTTTGTTTTTTTTTATTTTAGAGAGGAACTAAAGCAAACATGCCCCCACCAGCTACCACAAACCTGGGCTACACCCCTCCAGATGGAGGCTGGGGCTGGGCCGTGGTGTTTGGATCCTTCATCTCCATCGGCTTCTCTTACGCCTTCACCAAATCCCTTACCATCTACTTCAAGGAAATCCAGTGTGGAGTATTTCTCCATCTCCTACAGTGAGATAGCCTGGGTCTCCTCCATCATGCTGGCTACCTTGCATGCAGGAGGTTAGAAAGCATATTACTTAGGTCTGCCTGATAATATATATATACGTACGTCATTTTTGGAAAGCTGTGCCATTGCTTGGCATTCTAGGTACTCCCACAATCAGGCAGAGCAGTTCAGTGTGTGCTAGAAGTAACCAAATAACAGTAGGAGCCCAAATCAAAGATGACTTTGTCCCCATGGTTGCACAATGAGCCAGAGCTGTGATCTTTTTAGTATAAATTTGCATAGTCACATGCAAAACCAGTGCACTGGGGTTCCTCCCCTGCATGAGTGTGATCAAACATAACAACCTCAAGGCCAAATCTGTCTGTTTGATCTCCATGTTTTAATTGATCTGAGACCTAATAGAGATTTTGAATAAATCATCCTTTAGAATCATTTTTTTTTCATGTGTTCTTGTCACAGATGGCATATGATTCATTTGTGAATTTGACTCTTCCAATAGCAGCACTCAGTAATTCAATAATCACTTAAAGCACTTGAAGCAAGTTAATGAATCACTGAATCTGTCTTGTTTGACTCAAAAGGAGTCAATTGGGAGTAAAATGTTTCTCAGCACTCCAGTGTGCTCACTAGTGCTGAATAATTCATAGTGTTATGAGACTCTAAACTGTTTAACATCATATATAAAAGTTTACTCACCAAGCCTGCATTTATTGGATCAAATATACAGTAAAGACAGTAATACTTTAAAATATTCTCAGCATCATTACTCCAGTCTTCAGTGTCACATAATCCTTCGGAAATTATTATAATATGCTGATTTGGTGCTCAAGAAACATTTCTTATTATTACCATCAATGTTGAAGACTTTGTAGAGTACTTTTAGTAGAGTACTTTTACTGGAGTAATATGTTATCAAGACATCTGTACTTCTCAAGCAGAGGATGTACTTTGTCAAATGTTAACTCTAAACATGCTTTTGTTTTACAGGCTTTGGCTTCGCTTTTAACCTGCAACCAGCTCTTACCATAATCGGACTTCCTGTCCACCCTGGCTCCCCTCAACCAGTTTCTCTTTGACCATTTTGGATGGCGAGGATGGAAGCTTCCTCATCCTTAGAGGAGTGGTGCTCAACTGCTAAAACTGCCAGTGAGCAAAACCACTGATAAGAACCATGCAGGAAACTGGACGTCACATCTCAGACAGCTGGACAAAACAAGTCCAAGCAGTCAGGCTGTGCCGCAAATGTCAACCAATTCATTGATGTCTCCCTCTTCAAGCACAGAGGCGTGATCTATCTTGTAGGGAATGTGCTCATGTTTATTGGATTTTTTTTGCTCCAGTTGTCTTCCTGGCACCATATGCCAAGCATCAGGGGATAGATGAGTAATCTGCAGCATTCCTCTGTCCTGCTGGGGCCGCCCATCTCTGGTAAGTCCTACAATGAGATCCTCACTGTCATATCTCTCTGTTATAATCTTCAGGATGTTTATTCACAGATTTTTATCCTCAGGTTTTCTGGTGGACATCTTCATGAACTATAAATACATGTACTTTGCTTGTGGTATGATGATGTTGGCTGGAGGTATCTTCCTCTTCATCATGAACTATTACAACTACAGATAGTTGGAAAAGGAACAGAATCAGAGACAGGTGGAGGGGCTAGAGAGATCGGCTCAGCCAAAGAGCTTGCTGCCAATGAGGAGGACAAAGACAATGAAGAGATCAAACTCAGCAGAGGAGGAAGTAGGAAACTGTCGTTCTCTGTCTATCTATCTATTGAGAGAGGCGGAGGTTGAAATTATTTTATAATCTTACCTGTGCATTATGTTAAAGCTTCCATTGTGACAAGAGACATGAAAGTAGTGCCAGTAGGATATCAGAAAGTATTTGACTGATGATTGACCGCGATTGACCAATCAGAATCAAGTATTCTAGAAATCTGCATTTTTATTAACCAGCTTTTCTTAGCATTTTTGTCATTTGTTATTAAGATCAGTTGCTTTATTATTAGTTTTCTTTGTATATTATTACTTTAATAAATTATGTAGGTTTAATTTCAATCTGAAAATGTTATGCAGATGGACAAACAGATGAGTGGAAAAAACACGTGTACATTATTATAAAAGACGTTAAGATTCACCTTGACAAGTGAACATAGTGAAGTGTCTTAAAAAAACGTATTTATCTAAAGACATAACACTCATTGCAGGTTCATTCTTTACACATTGATTAAAAAACAATTGGTTTGTTTAATATATTTAAACTCAGAACACACTACTTACATCTCAGAGCACCAATGTTACTCAAGTAAGGAGAACTGATCGTTCATATGATCATCATAGCATATGCATAGAAACACTACAGGCCTTATTTATACAACTACAGATAGTTGGAAAAGGAACAGGTGGAGGGGCTAGAGAGATCGGCTCAGCCAAAGAGCTTGCTGCCAATGAGGAGGACAAAGACAATGAAGAGATCAAACTCAGCAGAGGAGGAAGTAGGAAACTGTCGTTCTCTGTCTATCTATCTATTGAGAGAGGCGGAGGTTGAAATTATTTTATAATCTTACCTGTGCATTATGTTAAAGCTTCCATTGTGACAAGAGACATGAAAGTAGTGCCAGTAGGATATCAGAAAGTATTTGACTGATGATTGACCGCGATTGACCAATCAGAATCAAGTATTCTAGAAATCTGCATTTTTATTAACCAGCTTTTCTTAGCATTTTTGTCAGTTTTTGTCATTTGTTATTAAGATCAATTGCTTTATTATTAGTTTTCTTTGTATATTATATTATTATTACTTTAATAAATTATGTAGGTTTAATTTCAATCTGAAAATGTTATGCAGATGGACAAACAGATGAGTGGAAAAAACACGTGTACATTATTATAAAAGACGTTAAGATTCACCTTGACAAGTGAGCATAGTGAAGTGTCTTAAAAAAACGTATTTATCTAAAGACATAACACTCATTGCAGGTTCATTCTTTACACATTGATTAAAAAACAATTGGTTTGTTTAATATATTTAAACTCAGAACACACTACTTACATCTCAGAGCACCAATGTTACTCAAGTAAGGAGAACTGATCGTTCATATGATCATCATAGCATATGCATAGAAACACTACAGGCCTTATTTAAGAGTGGAATGCATGTACCAGATGATTAAACACATTCCAAAGCTTTAAATGCATTTGCTGTGCAAGCTTTGCTATGTACATATCTATGTTACAGACACAGCCATCCTTGTTTAAAGGGATAGTTCACTCAACATTTACTTGCCCTCATTTACTCTTAATACAGAGACATTTATCAAAATATATTTTGGGTTTTCAACAGAGGAAAGTAAGTCATACAGATTTGGAACATGACGACATGAGGATGAGTAAATGAAGACACCATTTTCACTCACTAAGTCCTATTTGGAAAAACACTTTGGAAGCATGGCTTTTTCATTCAACACACACAGAACAGACATGAACAGAAACCTATTCAAGTAAAAAAAGCCAGAGAGGGTTACAGCTTTAGCCAGGGATGTTTGAGACACTGGGCTGCTGTTGTCCTCCGCTCTGGCAGGAAGTCCAACATCTGTAACAGGAAATCAGAGAAAAGTGATGCCTCTCTGAGGAGAAAGTCGTATTTCTCTACCAGCACTTCATACAGCCCCCATGGACGGAGGATGGCTATTCGCCGCAGGTCACCTGTGCAAAAACAATCATAGTTAGTAGCACAAAGACTGCTGTAACACTTCTGTTGGAGAATAACAGACTAATTTTATTTCTGTAATAAACATAAAATCATTGCCACAGCCAGATGAATTAGGAAAGACAAATCTAATATCGTACTCACCCTTGTGGTTGAAATACTCATAGGAATATTTCCCAGACAGAGCCACTGACACTGGGATCATACCCAAGAGCTCAATAATATGAGCCAGGTGGTCTAAAATAATAGAAATGGTCAATCCCACAAATCTAAAAGTTCTCCAATAAAAAAATTGATGATGGCTATTAAATAGTTTACCTTCCTCTAAGGAGAAGTAATCAGTAACAGACTACAATTTGTAAGTAATCTACCCAGCTCTGAAAAAAAAAATTATACATATACAATAATAAAAATACATTTATATTAATAATAAACATAGATCGATATTAATATAATTATATAATAACAGTTTTTATGTTCTATCATTCAAATGTAGCAAAACTGAAGCAAATATTAATTTTATAATACTTTTTTCATTAAAGGGTTAGTTCAGTCAATAATGAAAATTAGGCTGCGTTTCACTCACCCCTGAGGCATCCTAGGTGTATATGACTTTCTTCTTTCAGACGAATCCAGTCGGAGTTATATTAAAACTTACAATTAAGTAATCCAAGTAATCCAATCATGTGCTAAACAGCTGTACACTTTTGAAACCCGAGAAGAAATGTTCTTTTAGGATGAATCTATTTCACAAAACACCGTCGACAGCTGTAGACTCACCAAGCAGGCCACACTCCAGATGTCAGCTGGAGGACCATATTCAGAACCTAGGAGAACCTCCAGAGAGCGATACTGTCTGGTCTGGATCTCTTGACAAAAGTGTTTGTACTATAACAACAAGAAAATAGGTTAAGTAATCCAATCAGGTATAAACATCCAAGTGGATGCTGCACACTGGTGGTGGTTGAGGAGAGACCCCCCCCCACATGATTGTAAAAAGCGCTTTGGGTGTACAACAATACACAATAAAGCGCTATATAAATGCATCATTCATTCATTCATTTAAACATCAAGTAATGTCACTAATTCATATGCTTCCACAAGACCAGGCTGCGCATTCTTTGACTTTGAAGAAAGCATTATATGAATTCACTGAATGTGTCGCACCACCCAACATGAGCTGCCAAGGTCTGCAATCTTCACCGTGATATTATCCAAGTTTCCAGGTTTTCCAGCTGCTTCTGCATAAAAGTAGTAGACGATGACTCAATGCTACATTTATTACAGTGATTCAGTGTAATGATTTACTTCATTCACATTTCAAGATTTTCTTACCGGGATCCTGGAGCATGGTGGTTTTAATGACTGAAGAGTAAGTTTGTATCGCGCCCCCTGGAGGATGAGATGAGGACTGCGGTGTGAGACACAGCAGGATGTTCTCAGGCTTGATGTCTGTGTGAATGATCTTGCAGTGTCTGTGAAGATACTCCAGACCTTCAAGCACCTGAGACAGATACAGTTTTTCAGGTATTGTGCTGATTTCGGTGGTCTTTCTTTTCAGACACCAGGCCTACATTACATTTTACACACACATTAGAAGTTTCTGACCTGAGTGATGACGTGTTTGACGCAGGTGAGAGAAAGGCCTGGATTACCAAAACACACTTGCCAACAGCGCAAGTCCGGCCCCAGCAGTTCCAACACCAGACAAATATCTACATAGTGGTCAAGAATCAACTGTATTATATAAAAGACTAAAATTATATAAAAGTATACCCCAACCTTTCCACAGAACAGATCTTGAAATGAATTTTATATAGCAGTTAGTCTTTTAATTTGCTTTACAAGTTCCAATACAGGACGTTTCACTGTAGATGCGGTCACACTTATCGTTTATCTGTGAAATTTCACTGTCAAAATCCAGTAGTTCTTTTTTGTGATTATTTTTTTTATTATTGCTAAATCCAGTAGTTTTAACGCATGATTGGAAGTATCATATGAGGGAGCTCAAACTGCTTAGTTTGAAAGTGACTTCTTTATTAACAGGGCTTCATACATTGCCATACTGCTGTACTCACAATGAAAATATCTTCCTTGCCTACAAATTTTGGCTGAAATTCTGCAAATGAACGGTCACATAGAATGCATATTATTGTGTTGAGATTTTTAGTGACTCTCAGGTACACCATTATGCCAGTAGGTGGCAGCATATGACTGACTTAATGAGTCATTTAAGTCATTCACTCAACTGATTCATTCAAACACCGATTCAATCAAAAACGAAACAACACTTACATGTGAATAAAGATGACCGTATATTGACTTAAAGGGGTGGTTGATTGCGATTTAACTTTTTTAACGTTAGTTAGTGTGTAATGTTCCTGTTTGAGCATAAACAATATCTGCAAAGTTGCAGTGCTGAAAGTTCAATGCAAACGGCGATATCGTCTTCTAAAATTCTGGCAGTTTACTGGGACTACAACGAGCTACTTCCCGGGTTTGTGACATCACAAACCCTGATAAACTCTGCCCCCAGGAACATGCAACAAAGGGGGTGGGGCTATGTTGCGCTGCTTTAGAGAAGAGGAAGAAAACTAGGGGTGCACGTAAAACTCTATTCATATATGAATCGCGATTCTGTCTTCTAACGATTCTAATGGATTCACAAGTTTCAAAATCAATGTTCTAAAGCAGCAGTTCT